ATCGCACAAAGGCTACACGAAACCAGAAGGGAGGAACCGGTGGGGGGCCAACAAATGAACAAACACTTAGAAATATTTCCAAGTCCTGAACATTGTGCCCTCGGTGAAAGGCTCAACTGACTAAAGATTTCTAATAGCCGAGGGCTACAAGAAGCACTACACTTGGAAGAATATTTCCTAAGTCCTAAACATACATTCAAAGAAGCAAAGGCATACATTCAGGAAAGGCGAAAGCATACATTTAAAGAGAGACAATAAAAGGGAAACACATTATATACCGAAAGCCCAGAGGCATGTATTCATTCATCGAAGGAAAGAAATTCGAATGTATAAATTACAGTATGGCCGAGGCCGACAGTATACAGATGTCCATTACATACAGAGAAGACATTCAAAACACTACTAAGTACATATCATATATTGTCAGCACCGGGGGCAGCCTCTTCCGCGGGCTTCGAGATGACCTCCGTATCAGCCTCTGCCTCATCACCCTCGGCCTCTTTCAGGAGTTCTGAATCTTCCAGTTCTGGCCTCTCGACGCCCTCGGGAAGGGGAACTCTGATATCAGGCTGGAGGGGGGGGGGGGGGGAGACCGTATGCCGCCGGGTCGAAGGCCGTTGGCTCTATTTTCAGGTGCCGTGCGAGCCTCCTTTAGATTAAGGCCTGGGTGAAGAACTCCCCCCCGGCATAGTAATCTTCACCCTTTCGGGCTAGCCACATCGCCCCGGGGCCCTTCACCCACCCATCAGCAGAACTCTCCATGACCGAGGCCACCCAGTCTTTATGGCCTTCGGCCTTCCAGCCCTCGGTCATGAAGGCAGCGACTGCACCGGCGGCGGCCTCTGCTTTTGCGGCCTCGGCGTCTTCAAGGGCCTTCTTTGCAGCCTCGACAGCCGCCTTCTCCACCTCCACCCTTTCCTTGGCCGCTTTTTCTGCTTCCGCCCTCGCATGCTGGAGGTCCCTCTCCAGCTGAGCCATCTGCCTCACGGCCTCGGCATTGTCATGAACAAGCTTCTTGAGGGACTCCTCCTGTTGCGCCTTCTGGAGGCGCCACTCGTCGAACCTCCTGGCGTGTTCGCCGAGGGCTATGCAGGCCTGTTTAAACAAACAACAAAGTAAGGGGTTAAAACTATGATCACACAACAGATAAAGTCATAGGCCACTATGCAAAGAAAAAAGAAAGAAGGAGAAAGGAAGGAGAAGAACTTACGGTAAGGGAGGACCGGAGGATTTTGGACTCAAGGGCTTCATCGTCCAGCTTCCCGAGGGCCCGCCTATCCAGAGCGGGCGTAGCCCCGCCCAAAAATTCCCGGGGGTCTACTGTGCCATGCGTAATGGCTGCCCCCTTCGGCAGGGAGAACTGTATGTCCTCCCGAGGCAAGCTTGCCTCACCACCTTTACCCGAGGGCGGGCAAGGAGCAGTAGGAGCACTGGGCTCGGAGGCGGAATGGGTGGGTGATTGGGGCCTTGCCGGCGTCCCCCTTTTTCTGCTTTTTCCCCTCGGGGATTGGGGCCTTGCCGGCGGCCTTCCGCTTTGCGGCCTCCCCCGAGGGCTCACCGCCCTTCATCAGCTCCCCGAGGGGCTTCTGCTTGACGGGCTCCTTCTGGCCCGGGGCCTTCACCTTCTGCTTTTTGAGGTTGGCGAAGGCATTGAGGTCCATGTTAACACCTGCCAACAAAAACAAAGGGATTAGACCGAAGGAGAAAAGAGCAAAAAAAAGGGGGAAAAGGAAAAAAAATCCTAAGTACAAAATAAAGGAGGCCCTCGGAGACTACCTCCTGCCAGCACAGGATACTTCTCTTCTGTTTCACCGAGGAAGCGATATCTGCGGAAGCCGAGGGCAAAAAGCTCCTTGTCAGCAGTAAAGTCCTTGATGGACACTTGCTTCGTGCGACCCGCCGGAATCCTGGCTATTATCGAGCCATCCTTCTCCAAAGCAACACTCCCGACCTTCGGATGCCGACAGAAACGATCCCTAAGTTCCATCGGAAAAGGGCTCTCGGCAATCCTGACGTAGCACCACCGCTGCTTCCGGCCTTTGTTGGACGAGGGCGCTTCTGTGAATAGCTTCCACCGAGCCACCTGTTGCAGATTGGCGAACCCCTCGGCGTTCGCGTGACCCCCTCGGCAGAGGATGAAGCTCTGGAAAAACAGGTCCAGGCTGGGGGGTCACCCCTCAGACCCGGCAGAGGTTCAGAAAGCCCGTCACGTAGGAGTGGCTGTTGGGCGTAAGCTGGCAGGGGACCAAGCCCACATACCGGAGATACTCCCGAAGGAATGGGTGCAGGGGGAACCGGAGCCCCATTGACACCGATAGGATGTGCAAAGCAATGCACCCCTCGGGAGCCCGGGAAAGAACGTCATCTGGGCCCGGCGCCACCACCACAGCCGAAGGCCCCACGTGCAGCTGGGTCACGTACATCTCCTCCCTATCAGCCTTCGACCCTATCTCCAGGGCACCCGTGTTTAGCCAGGAGTACCCCTCGGGCACATCTATGGGCTTCCCCTGATCAGCAGCGACACTTTTCTTCTTGGGGGCAGTTTTCTTCTTCCCCGATTGGTTCCCGGGAGCCACTCTTATCGGCGTCGGGTTGAGGGGCAGAGAGCTCCCTGCCTCACCAACACCCCGAGGGGGAAGGACGGCCACGGTCACCTTCATCCTCTCCTTTTCTTCCTCCTCTTCTACAACTTGCACGGCGAGGGCAAGCTCTTCGTCCTCCGCCTCCTGCTCGAAGCCCTCGGCTTCAACTTCGGTCACCAATTCCTTCTGCACCACCATCGCCATCGCGACATCCTCTTGGGCCGAGGGCTGCTCACTTGAGGACCCCGCGTCTGAGAAGCTTTCCTCTTCCATCGAGGGATCCCTCGATATGTCCTGGGAATCGCTTTGAGAAGACATCTACGCACTAGCTCGAGGGCTCGGAAATACTAGAGTTTTCTAAAAATTCTATCTCCTAGCCTAAGGTCACAAGGCACAGCTAACTACAATGAGAAGAGCAGGGGGGAACTGACCTTAAGGCAGAGATTGATCGAGGGCTGCTGTTTCTCTCTCTAGAAATTTTGGCAGAGCTTCGCTATAATGATTTCGCACAAGGGGAAGGAAGCCGGCCATGGGGTATTTATAGGCGCTGGGATCCGGGCTTGGGCCTGGAAACCGGGCCTTCGGTTGGACTGCCATCATTACCAATTAACCGAGGTTCCACCCAATCGGTGACGCCCGCCCATGGGCAGCCAACGAGCACGCACCACGTGGCAACCCCTCCCAACGGCTATATCCTGACGTTACATATTCCAACGGCTATATTTCCAACGGCTATATTCTGGGAGCCCCGGGCTTTTTGCTTCACTCCACTTCATCAGGGAAAGCTTCCGGGTACACTTACCCAGAGACGCTCTCGGGTTGTGCCCCACACAGTACATAACAGACGCCTTCGGGATCACTCCTTCAGAAGCCCAAGGCTTCATATCAGGCCACCCCTCGGGGATCCCCCCTCAGCACTGTAAGGGCAGGGTAGCCCCCGGGGAGTATGCCTCATTGACGGATAGCCTACAGCACACAGGTAATGGGAGCCCTCGGATATCCTCACCACCAACTAATCAACAAGCAGGGGACACCCCGGTAACACTTCAACTACTACCATCATTCACTACGCCCTCGATCCCCAGATTGAGGGACCCGCCTTCGGCACCTCCCAGGACATCAACAACAAGCCTCCGGCTAATCAACACATGAGCCCTCAGAACGAGGAGAGCCTTCGGCATCATTATTATTCTCCGTTTTGAACCAAGGTTTCACATTTTCGATTCATCGTTGGGGGAATTCGGTGCACTCTTTTTCCCTCATTAGGATTTTTTCCCGCAGGGTTTTTCCTAATGAGGTTTTTAACGAGGCACCCCCCCAAAATGAAACGAAAAGCGTCAGCCTTCGGCCCAAAACAGCAACGCAACTACTCTACTCCTTGTCACCACTTTGCAAGTGCCTCAAGGAGTGGGGGACTGGAGGACCCCCTCGGGAAAAATCACAAAAATCACAAACATGACCCCTCAAGTCCCGACATGTGGGTAACTGAGGGACTGCCCTCGGCAGAATAAACAAACAGCAAACTACCTATAACTCTACAAACTACAAACTGAACAACGGCAGAGGACAAACACAATTACTCATTTTCCCTCAAGTACCTTTCGACAAAAGGAGTGAGGGACTCCTGATGGAGTATATGGCCCGGGAACCCCCGGCCCACAGACTCCTACTACCCCAAACAAGGCCCAACAGGCTCAGAAGGCCCAACATGCCCAAATCACAGCGACCAGAGTACCAAGCAGCCCACAATGCGCACCAGGGGTGCCTTCGGCCCCCTGGTCGAAGGCTCTAGCTATCACAGGAGGGTCAACACAGCAAAACAAAGTTACTGGGGAAAAACGGCGAAAATCAGTAGCCCTCGGCAACTGGAGCCCTCAGCACTAAGGGGGTCCCCGGTACTCAGAGCCCTCGACTAGTCCTCTACAGCCGAGGGCACCTTTCCCGACATGATATTCACGCCACATGCGTACAGATCACCATACCCTGTACAACGTCCCATCCAACAGCCGCATTAAATGCGGCCACATGCGGTTGCCAGCGCCAACCAGTTGAGGTGACCTCTCGGCCAATGGACGCTTGACACGTGTCCCTGTCCGGCATTTATTGCTACTATAAATAGCACCCCATTTCCCCATTTGTAACCACGCTGAAATCGCTGAACACTTTACAATATACTTTCTCTCTCTATATTTACTTGCTCTGACTTCTCTCTTATTATTCTCCGTAATAATCCCTCGGATAAGCTACCCCCGGGTACACTATCCATCAATTATCAAACAGACTCTATATTAGGCTAAATTTATTTTTCTTTTAAATCACATTATATGTGATCCGATAGAAATTAAATTTCAAATTAGCTAAATTACGTAGTGCCCTTCAAAACTAGTATAAATATAAACTAAGTGCAAAAAAAAAAATAGTGAAATATAAACGGAAAAAAAATAGTGCTCGCAGTTATTCACTGTGCCTAAAAAGGGAGCTCTAGCTTTTCAATTGCCCCTCTTCATCTCCACAGCCGAGCAGTCGAAGTCGAGATGGCGTCACCAAGTGCTCTTAGTCTGACTACTCGGTTCTCAAATCTTCAAGGCTATTCACCCCTCCTCTGTAATCTCTCTTTCTCTCTCTCATAATTTTTTGTAAAGATTTCAACTTCCAGGGTCCTTAAGTGTTTAAAACAAGAAAATAGTGAACTTCAATTTAGAATTTTCGTCTCAACACATTAGACGCTCGCCCTCTTCTTTCTTCTGTATTTAATTTGCTCAATTGTTTCAAACCCAGTTCCGAATATCCCAATGGTTACTAAAGATGCAAACTTTATAGTCTATGAACGGGGTTATGTTGTAAAAATTTAGCTGGGTCATAGAGAGTGCTATGAATCGTTTATTTAAGCTGCTCAACTTTATCTGTTAGTCATGCGATCTTGTAAGCCTGAAGAAAATTTCTATTCCCGAATCATTTCTGTGGTAGATACCAATGTTCTTGTCTATTGAACTATAACACTTTTTAATTGGAACATCTAATTATATATTCTAAAACCAAATGCACCAATTAAGTCAGTTTTTTGGCACCCAAAGACCAAAGTAGGACCTATTTAGTGATATTAAGAGGGTAAAACAATAAAAACTTTCTAAAATAGGAGCAAATGAGTCATATTTTGAGAAGAAAACGATGCCACTCGTATTTGAAGAAATATGTTATGGTTTACTCCTATTCTGAATTGGTGTCATGACTTCTTTTTTGTGAATATGATTTTTTTTAATGCATTTAATTCAATATGATGTTGAATATATCACATTTGGCAATTCTAAAATAGTATACATAATAATTTCTAGACAGCACGCTTGACATGAGTCATGCGAATGCTTTTTGCGCGTTGTGCCTCATGTGATTTGAGTACTCCAGATATCCTTGAGTGTGCCTCGCGATTTGACTTCCTTTGTTCTCCTAAAAAATTCAAATTTGTGCTTAAGTGATCCACTTGAAAGTTGAAACCTTAATGTCCAATATGACCCATCTAAAAAAATTAAACAACTGAGTGGTTTATGTTGGAATTTCTCAAGAATGTGGAAATCAGAAACTGAAGGGCCTTACAGTACCACTAAGTTATTCTTGGCCATGAAAATTCCTTAAGCCTTATATAATGATGGAAATTCCTTTTTTTGTGCTTGTATTAGTGTCACTATTAGGGAATAGTTTTGCATCACACACTGCATATTTCATCATCTCTGCAGGCAAACCGGTTCCCAATACAAGTCAAGTAGGTGTCTTGAACCTATCACGTGTTGACTATAGAAAGGTTGTAGATAAGCGTAGACCTCTAAGGATCTATGCATTATTTGGTGGAAAGAAGGATAATAACGAAAAGAGTAATGATGCTCCTTCAAAGGTAATGCAGTCAGAATATATTTATAATATAAAATTATTTCATGTTGTTTCCTTCACGTGCCCTTATAGTCATATAGATATTATATCATCTCACCTTTTCGGTTTATACTCATGTATTCACTTGGGTTGTATATTATGAAGCGTGGCTGAAAAAATGCGGTGTTTGAGATTTGGGTTGAAGTGACTGAACTCATAACAAGCACACACTGCTTTCCTAAAAGGAAAACAAGATTATTTTGGGACAAGCAAGAAAGAAATACAGAGATAATCCAGGACAAAGTGTTTTTGTATTTGTTTTTCATGGATAAACTGATTATAGAGTACAATCGTGCTGGTTGAAATGGAATTAATCAATTAACAAATAGTACTTGCATAAGAACAAGAGTATTATAAAAAAGGTCACAGTATCCTTACTGTGTTAGCATTGGTTAAATTGATAGGCTGGTATTATGGGGAACATGCAAAATTTGTATGAGACTGTGAAGAAAGCACAAATGGTTGTCCAAGTTGAAGCAGTGAAAGTACAGAAAGAACTTGCTGCGTAAGTTTGTCATTGTGCTATGAGTTGTCCCTGCTCATATTACCCTTGTTGTATATATAAATAAATGAATCATATTGGGTCTAATTTGTTGTTACATATCGAGGTTCCTTCCACAGAGCAGAGTTTGATGGTTACTGTGAAGGTGAGCTAATCAAGGTACGTTAGTGTTCTTCCTACCCGAACTCAATACAATGATTGAGCCTTTAAGTCATAAGCTGATATAATATTTGAGCCGACTACAATCCTTATAAGTATGAGAGTGATCAACCGCAGCTTAGTTGAAGTTTTATCGATTTTTGTCAATTGTAAAATGGCATAAATGATGCTACAAACGTGACTTGGGTTGTAAAGACTAAAGGTCCTTGGGCATTTACTTCCCTAGCAACACAGTAAACTACTTAAAATATATTAAGAATGTGGTTGATATTGAATTGAAAAAGTAAGAATGATTAAGATCCACACAAATTTTACTAAATATGGTATGGGACAATCTTAGTGTGATTTCCCGAAAAGGTAAAATGAGACAATCTTAGCGGGACAGAGGGAGTATTACTTAGTGCATACACTCTCTCCTAGCTTACTTCATTTTCATTTTCATTTTCATTTACCCCAGTGCCGCAAAGGCTCCCACCTACGGTGGGGTAAGGGGGGGTCGGATGTACGCAGTCTTACCCCTGTACTAAAGCACAGAGAGACTGTTTCCGGATGACCCATAGTGAAAATCGCGTCCAAGATTGCATGGACTGACTGCTGCTCCATAACAAAGAAGCGCAGACAGTTTAGTGAGCCATTTTGCTTTATTCCATCATAATCTCAAGCCAAAAAATAATGAATCTTTGGCTCCATTGCAAATGATGGAAAATCTGAGGAAAAAGGGTAAATAGAGAAAAAATTATTACCCTCGTGACAAAAGAGTAACAACTAACAAGATAAGGAAGTGTGAACTTGTTTGGAACATCCCGAAAAGGAAAGTGGGAACTTAATTTGGGGACGGAGGGAGTATTAAGAAGTAAGAGCTCACACATATCTTCTTGTATCTTGTCGACCACAATGTTGTAGATGGCTTAGTGTTCCTTTATTTCTGGCTAGACTAGGCAGGTTGTGGGTAGCTAGTACTTAGTAGAGAAGTACTAGGATGTTGGTACAGTAATTAAGCTTGTGGGTAATTGGATAGTAAGCGAACCCTCATTTGTAGGGGAACTCTTCAATAGTTACAACCAACTTCAACAGCCATGCGAGCCAGCCACTCCAACTTGTAGCTTGACTTTGTCGCTTTCAAGCTAAAAGGTTCTTCAATAGTTAGCTACAACCTTTTTTTTGCATGGGACCACATTTCAATAAACTTATCTAACCAAGCTAATTAGATTTCTGGGGCTAGATAGCTTATTCAAGCTAATTGTTAGATTGTGCTTCAATGGTCAAACTACTTGTTATATAAATATCAGAATTGCTAGCTAGTCCCTAAGCAAACCATTGAAGCTGCTTTAAGGGATTTAAGAGCACATAATTTAAAATTCCACCCTTATATCCTGGTCGCATTTTATGATTTTTACATTAGACAAAATGTCCTCCATCTTCAATGCGTTCAGGAGAATTTTGATCCGTGAATTCATGTCTTCTGGTCCAATTTATTTTCGATCCTGAGCAGCAAAATAATTATAACTACCTTGAATTTTCGATCCCGAGCAGCAAGAGTTTTTTCCATTTTTAGTCCTCCGACTATTATTTCTTTGACACTTCTGGTACTCAACTTTGATTTTTTCCACTTTTAGTCCTTGACTATTGTGCTAGAGACACTTTTGGTACACCTCTTTGAAAAATTCCTGTTTAGTCCTCCGACTTTCATAAAAGTGACACTTTTGGTCCTTCAACTATTATAATAATGACATTTTTAGTCCTTTTATTGTGTCAAAATCATAGTGGAATGACTAGAAGTGTCAATTTGATAATACTCTGGGGACTAAATGTGGAAATCTTTGAAGTCGAGGACTAAAAGTGTATCTACTATCTACCACAATAGTCAAAGACTAAAATTGGAAAAATTAAAAGTCGAGTACCAAAAGTGTTAATGACACAATATTCAGGGAACCGAAAATGGGAAAAACTCTTTATTGAACGTAAACTTCCATTTACTGTAGCATCATTTCCGTTCTAAAGATATGAAGTATTGTCATCATTCCATTAAGATATCAGGGGATTTGGGAGCCATGACTCTGCAATTTAGTCGCATGAACAGTGATGTGAGGGCCTGTTTTCGCCATCTCAATAGTGACTTGACTACTTGAGTTTTCGAGGTAGCCTAACCATCGGGGATCACCTTTCTTTAGGCGAGCATGTTCTGAGAAACCACATGCCTTTCTTCTTCATGATCAGTGTTTGTGTTGACTTAGTTGTCCTTTAAACCATGTAGTTTGGAGCACTCACAATAGAACTACTCTTATAGTCTGGTGTGAATTGAAACCTGCAATTGTTTGCAGGTAACATTATCTGGTAATCAACAACCTATACGCACTGAGATTACAGAAGCAGCTATGGACTTGGGGCCTGAAGTGAGTTTGCTCTGCTTATAATATTTTGAAAAGTATTATTGCCTCGGTCCCATATAATGTGTTTTATTTTGGCTTGGATTTCTGATTGAAGTTAATTAAGTCTTCCCTGCAAGTATCTAAGTTAGTTTTAATAATTGAAACTTACATATTTAGAAGTTAGAACTACACTAAAAGTCCCATTGAACCTAAACAAACAAAACTCGAGCATGTTAAAACTTCAAAAAAATTATATGCAGAATCAATGAATAAAAAGGAATTAGGTTTTCGAGAAACATAAGGTTCACCACGTGAGTATTAAAAGTGTAACAATATGGGACATAAGCTTCAAGCATCGGGAATAATTGCATTACTATGTTACTGTTTTAATGGAATTACTTTTCTTTTGTTGTGAAGAAACTTTCTCTTCTGATTACGGAAGCATACAAGGATGCACATCTTAAGAGTGTCCAAGTAAGAATCACATTCTGCATTTCTGCTCTGGTTTTCTTTGTAACTCTTCCTTCTTCCTCCCCACTTTACCTTTCTCCTTTTAATTTTATACATCACAGCCATCACCCCCTTTTTTCATTAATCTTTTTGCATTTGGTAGGTTCATATTCATAATTTGCTTCTAAAAGGTTCCCTTGGTTTTTTCAGGCTATGAAAGAGAGGATGAGTGATCTTGCCCAAAGCTTAGGGATGCCACAGGGACTTGATGGAGGGTTCAAGCAATGATATCTCTTTTGAGTTTTTTTACAATGTTTAAGGCAAAATGTACCCCTATTTGTCCAGCGGATATGATTTTTGCTAATTCTCTAATTTATTTTATAAATGATAATATTTATTACTATTCTGGAAAAGAACATGGCGTCCACATTTCTATCTTCTATGCATCGATATTACAAAAAAATGGAAAAGCACATGGTTCTCACAAGATTCATTTCTTTTATTGAACCATGATAGTGTTGATACAATTTGCAATGAATGAATGTTGTTCTGTTTTGCTAGTCCCATAACTTTCATGGGAACAATGAATTGCATCAGAAGCCTATCAGGTTGCTTTCAAGATTTGGGTAATGGTTTGCCAGCCAAGAATGACTGGAACAGTATAAAGGCTCTCCTTGGTTGAAATAATGGCACTTCATGGCCAGCTCCTCTGACTGTGGCAAAGGTGAGTCCTTTATACACCTCTGCCCACCCTCCCACCTACAAGTTTCATTTTATATTCATGTTAGTGTCGATTTTGTTTTGCCTTTATTTCAAAGATCAGAACTTTTTTACTCTCTCATGAAAAGTACTTTTTTTACAAAAGTCTCAACATGGATAAGCACAAACCTGTCCACTAGAGTACCAAGGGTACCATGGTGTTTGAATCTTGAGATTAAGGTGACTGAGAGAGAACCTTGTGGCTGTCACTGGAACAACTGAATCTGTATCTCCACTGCATTGAATCGAAAATAATTACTGTTTTGTTTGACATTTTTTTCTACAGAAAAACTAGTCCTACATTTTTTACTTTATTGTTCTGTCAGGACTTAGGAGCTGCAAAAAGCTGTTTTTGTGCTGAGTTGTTGGAAAAAATGTTTTCAGTGTTTACCGTAAGTGGTTTAGGACAATAATGTTAAAGTTTCATTTGAAAATATGTATAGATGGCTTTAAAATGCTTTAAAATGATAAAATAGAGGTTCGTAAGGAGTTTTTAAAATGATAGTCTGTTTGGGATGACATATGTTGCAAGTTACTTTCCTAGAAGTGCTGCTTTCTCATTCAGGCACTCTAAAGGTGTTTTTTTATTTTCTTAACTAAGCATAAAACAATTGTAGAATTGAAAGCATTTTTTTGAATTTCTTTGCAAAAAGCTCTTTAAAGTAAATACATAGTATATCTTTCTTCATATGAAAAACACCTGTTCTTTGAAAACAATTCATCCCAATGACAACCCTAATCTGGAGCTTATGAATTTCAGTTCATTCAAAAGAGCGGTTTTGAATAAAGGTACTTTTGGAGATGGGCCAAACTTATACCACTCGGCTTTTGGATCACCTAAAAGTACTTTTACACCTCTAAAATCTAGGACAAGCGGAACCATAGTTAACTGTATTGCAATATTGCATACCTGAAAACCCAGATTCTAAGACCACCAGCTATTAGCTTCTTGTATATTGGTAGCATCGAGAATTCAGCATCCTTCCAGTTCTTTAACAGTATGTCACTGTTATAAGATGTATATAAGTTGCAAGACAACACTTTAAACATATTTTCTTTGTTTATTTTCATTCTGAAATGATTGGCAGATTACAAAAGCAGCAAGACAAAAGAAAATTTTAATGTTCAGGTTACCTGCAAGCGGTCCATTTATAAGGAATCCCTGTAGTGTTTGCATGCATGGCTTTCTGCACATCTGCTCTGTTATAATATTTTTCTGCATGACTTTCAATGCATGGATCATATCCAGAGACTCTTCTGTGTATAAGAGTGTTCTTCAGCCGTAAAAGGGTATTGCTATTCTCTGCTGCCTTACAAGATGGTGTATATATGCTATACTGATCAATACTACCAAACTCATGGTTCATGGCATAACTCACTGCATCGTCACACTTGCTTGAAGACTCGGTTGATGTAAAGTTGCATGATTTTAGGATGTTCTTATATGTCTTGTCTGAAATCAGCGCATGGGTCCACCAAAATGTGACTGTTCCAATGTTGTCGTAATAGTTGTCTGTAACAGCGTTTCCGACCTGTTCTCATGAATATTCTCCGTTTAGAGGATTTCCAGTTTACTACAGAAAACTTCCACTTTTGGTCCCATGCGGTGAATAGGTCTTATAAATTTTGGTCCCAGTTTTTCTTATTTTTTTACACTTTTTGGCAGACGAATGGATTTCTTGCCGCTTTTAGTCATTCCAGTTGCGTTAAATGAAGAAAACTGACTGGGAATTGAATGAAAGTTGGTAGATGAGCTGTCTTAATGACCAAAAGTGAGAAGAAATATACAGTCATGCATCAGAATTGGGAAATAAAAGAAAGTCAGGGACCAAAAATGTGGGAATGGCCTAATAGGCCAATACACTAGGGACCAAAATTGAAAATATTTCTGTACTTTATACGTAGTATTCATCAGCGTTGAAACACTCACAATAAACCCCTTAAGGTTGATGACCGGCTTGGATAATCCTTTGTTGTAATCAAAGATTTTGTTTGCTAACTGGGGGACATAGTGCCCTAATTAAAGTTAATGGTCTGAATGTTAGACATTGATGTATTCAACTGGGAAAATATGTGGAGAAGTGGAAGATGAAATGTTCTTATCTACCTGCATAACTCTCTCCAGCAATGTAGAAATCTCTGTATCTGTATTGTGGGAATCTTGACATCCATCTTATGAGGAAATTTAGGGCATCATTAGCTGCCATAAACACCAGCTTAAGTTAATTGGTTTCAACATGAATACTTTTGGGCCCCATTCCGTAAGGTTTTCTGTAGTAAACTGGAAATCATCTTTGCCCTATTTTCTGAAAGGATTTGCCCTATCATGGTTTGTTTGGCAGAATTTACAGGATTTGCCCTATTTTCTGAAAGGAAAAGTGTTTGGTGACATTATTTTCAACTAAATAAGTAATATGCAGAACAAGCCAATCATGGATACCAATTACCAAATGGAGCCTTATTTTGTGCATGTACTGCACACCCTAGTAGTATTGTACCTGTTCTATTGTCCCCAGAGTTTTTCAGATCAGAGGTTGTATTTGTGTAAGAGAATCCTACACCAGCAGGTGATTCCAGGAACAGAATATTTGCCACTGTAAGTAGCAACACTAAACATGTTATTATGGCTTTTTAAAACTATAATATGACTCCCACAACAATTGCTGTTTACCTTTGTTCCATGAATAATAATTCAGATAGAGAGAAGAAGCGGTTTTGTTGACCCGAAATGGACCTATTTCTTCTGATGCCCCGTAAGCCACCGACGAACAACCAGGCCCTGCATTTTTTCATTTTAACTGTTAATGACAATGATGATTGTTTGTTGCGGGTTAAAGCATCAAATGCGTTTACGCATGGTTATATATCTATCATGGTCCAATCATTTTCTGTGTATGTGAATTTGAGTGACAAAGTGATGGGCTCCTTGTAGATGTGGGTGAACCACTTCAGGTTATCTCATTTTCCAGGTCATTTGTGGGGTGCAGTGGGCCCATGTTGTCTAGGTGAGCTTTGAAGTTGGTAACTACTCCCTCCGATTCATAAACAAGTTCCACGTTTGACTTCACACATTTTAAGAAAATAAATTTGACTTTGGAGTGCATTGTTTGGCACTGTTTGACATTGTTTGAACACTGTTTTACACTGTTTTGATGTAGATAATTTTCCAAATAAGGAAATGTTTGAAAGTGGAACTTAATTTTGAATCTGACCGAAAAGGAAAGGTGGAACTTCTTTTCGAATCGGAGGGAGTATTAATGAAGTTTCCCAAAATAAGATTAAAAGAGGTTGTTTCCTGTAATAGGAAAGTGTTTTTTTTTCAAACAAGAGTAGAGTATTGTTGTATTACCAGAAAATAATATGGTACCATTACAATCACAATATCACTAGTTATTTCGGGATGACATCTTAGGGAAAAATAATACTACCTCCATCTTTTTTAATATACCAACTTTGGTCTATCATTATAAATAGTACTTCCTCCGTTCCTTTTTAATTGCAACAGTCAACATTTCATGTTTGACAACGCATAAGTTTGATCATTAATATCTTTTATTCAATATTAGTAAAAATTTAAAAAATTCATATTATTAAAATTTAGAATGAGAAGCATTTAACAATATTTTTAAAAAATATAATTTATAATACATTAATCAATAAAATATAATAAAAGTAGAATATGTGAATAGTGCAAAAAGTTAAATGTTGTAATTAAAAGAGCGGAGTTAGTATATTTAAGTGAAACTTATACTATTCTATACTTTGAAATACTCGTTGGAAAATTAAAATATATAGTTGGAATTAAGGCTGCCACACAATAGTTATAAAAATTACATCATAGGTTTAATGTTAAATGCCCGTTAAAAAATCAAAATATATAGCTGGAATTAAGACTGCCTCAAAATCGATATAAACATTACATCATAGGTTTAATGTTATATACCCGTTTAAAAGAATCAAAATATATAGTTGGAATTAAGACTGCCACATAATAGTAATAAACATTACATAGGCTTAATGTTAAATACCCATTCAAAAAAATCAAAATATATAATTGGAATTAAGACTGCCACATGATAGTTATAAACATTACATCATAGGTTTAATGTTAAATGCCCGTCAAAATATCAAAATATATTGCTGGAATTAAGACTGCCACAAAATCGTCATAAACATTACATCACATGTTTAATTATATACCCGTTTAAAAAAATCAAAATATATAGTTGGAATTAAGACTGCCACACAATAGTTATAAACATTACATCATAAGTTTAATGTTAAGTACCCATTTAAAAAAAATCAAAATATATAGTTGGAATTAAGACCGCCACATAATAGTTATAAATAAAAAACATTTTCATATCCTTTTATACTCCGTATTATGTATTACGTAGTATAAATAGTTTCGTGTATACATATATTGCAGGTCAATGTTCGGCATCATCCACTTGAAAATTCAAAGTTAGCTAACTAAAATAGAAAGAAGGGGACAACATATTTCAATTTCACAAATGCTAAAGGTATCTCAAAACTCTTTCAATTTTTGGTGAAATTTTTAGATGGATTGCGAGCTTTAAGGCTTCTATAAGCCATACCCCTGAATGCATGGCTGACGGTTTGTTGTGCAGTTGGACCAGATCCACCTCTGATTGATGATAAGACGTAGTTTG